GTCTATTCCTCTTGGGGCCAGGAAATTCGCCTCTGAGGTCACAACTGCCCCCTCCTGGAGAAACAGGCCGATCACATGTCAAGTGGCTGCATATGAGAACACCCCTAATCCCCAAGGGAGCTTTCAGAAAATAGCCATGCTCAGCCCAATCAAATCAGAACATTTGCAGGGGACCCCCGGATCAGTGTTGCCTTTCTTCTTTTTGGCCTTGGGAGGTTTTCACCTCTTTCTAGGGAGGGAAGCCCAACTTTTGAAATGACTCTCCTGAAGGAAAAGAACCGAGTTCTTGAGGGGAGGATAGAGGTGCCCAAGGGGCTGCACATCAGAGACACCGAGGAGGCTTCTGTTCTGCTTGGCTGACCCATGTCTGGCAAAATTTGATCAGTGCATCCCTGTTCTCCTAAGTCACAGCTCCATGAGATCTCAAAGTCCTGGAAATGAGCCCACTCTGCAGACATCTGGGGGAGTGTGCGTGTCCTGGCGCTGGGACCTGCAAAGGGAGAGGGAACTGAGTTTGTGTGGATGTCCTGCTTTATGGGCCTCATCTCTTTCCAATGGCCTTGGGGGACCTGGAAATGTACAGCGCATCCTTGCCCATTTTAAATGAGTCTGATCCAGCGGGTCCCAGGATTGTGATGCCAGCTCTCAAGACCCTGAAACACACTGGCAAGAAGCTGTTGCCTAACTTCTTGAAGTTCTCTCCCCTTCCCACAGGTCCACTGCTCTCCCACCTCCCTCCATCCACAACGCAGGTTCTTTGCTTAGAGCAGCAAAGAACAGGGGTCAGGAACTCGCCTGACTGCTGGACACTCAGCATGAATGGTCGTCGAGCATTTCACTCAGATATTAAATCATCTCCAATCTCACGAAAGCAGCTGGTGCCAGGATCTCTGCTTATTCTATTTAGTTAGAGCTGCATGAGATTTTGCGTTTACTCTAATGTTATGGCATTGTCCTAAAATCTTTACAAATTTTAACTCATTTTATCCTTATAACCACTTTACGAAATTAGTACTATTCTATCTCCCATTTTATAGATGTGGAAATTGAGGCACAGGGAGCTTAAGTAACTTGCCAAGGTCATCTAGTTCGTAAATAGAGATTCAGGCTAGAAAATATAAACATGAGATTTTCCCAAAGTAGACACCAGCACTCCTCCTCTATCATTCTCTTCCCCGCAATTTACACCTCAAAAAAACTGAGACCCGGAGAGGGAGAGAAGACATCCAGGGTCAGCTGGGGGCAGAGTCAGAAGCAGAGATCCTACTCTGATTTCACATGGGACCACTGCCATGCTCAATCGACAGTTTAGACAAACGTCCACAAATTCTTTAATGCTCTCCCCTTCAAGAGCTGGAGGTATGTTCTGCAAGTGTAGGCTGGGCTGAGAACTTCGTGTAAAGAGGAGAATAAAGTAGGAATGATAAAGTGATGGGAGGCCAGCTCAGCAAAGGAAGTGTGATGACCACCCAGGCAGTATGTAAGAAATGGCGAAGTGAAATGTAAAAAAATGGGCAATATAAAAAGTTTAAAATCATGCGAGGCAACACCATAGTGCTTTACGTGGACACGTAGATTTGGTTTAAGTGTAAAGGAATGCACAGGAATGACACTAGAGCAGGGTACCCAGGTGGAGAGGGAATGGGGTTAGAAAAGAGTGGGGGAGGGGCTTCAGTTCAACTCATGACCTATTTGTTAAGCTTAATAGTGGAAATCCAAATGTTTGTTATTCTTACTTATAATTAATACAGTTGAAAACAATCATCTTTCTTTATTTGTGCAACAGAACTGGGTACAGGCCAGAGGTGCAGGGGCGGTGAGAAGCTTCACCAGAGACAGAGCGGGAAGCAGAACAGGCAGATGACGAAGTACACTGCTGAGGGGAGCAGCGGGTGGGTCAGGAGAGGTCTGCCACGCCATGTGGTCACCTCTGGGGCTGGGAGTGAACTTGCACTGAAGTGGCTGCACTAGCTTGCAGTGCTGCGCTTTAACCTGTTGCAACACCAGGGAGGGCTGACAACCATCTTTCTATGAAGAACTTATTTTTACTTCACAGTCTCTGTGACTGTTAAGTCAAAGTATTGATTTGAAGCCACACATTCAAGCAATCGTTTCTTCATCACATACTTGCTATTGAATGAAAGAATTTCCAAAGAGCTAAATGTTTCATATGAACACTATAAAATTCCTAATAAACTGTTTGGTTAGTTAACCACTCCCTCCTTCTTCTTAGAAGTGCAGGGTCTCTGCATTATTCATAGTTATTATTTCTGTTATATATATAGGTATTAATAAATAATAAATTAAGTTGAGTATAACATAAACAGGGTGGTTTTATTCTCACCTATTTTTTAATATACCATTTTTTAATGACATTGCAGGTCATGATAGATACCATAACTTATGAGCCAGGTTTTATGAAATTCAATTCATTCATGTATCTATTCACTCGACAACTATTTTTTAGTCATCATCTAGGCAGGAGCATATTGTTATGAACAAGAGAGATAGGGCCTTTGGTTTTTATATGGTTCACCTTTTACCACCTTTATCATGCCTCACTAATTTATGCCACAAACATCTTCTACTGGTATTATTGCAATGATCCAATGCTATAATCCTCACCCCCCACTTATACTCATCTCCCTTATAGTAAAATCTCCACTGTACGTGGAGAGGTTCTGCTAAAATCTAACTTAGAACTTGTCACTCTTTTACACTGAAACCTCCAAACGCTTTTCACCTGAGGGGTATTGTAGAAATGGGCATAGTTCTATAAATTCCTCCCACCAAGAGGTGAAGACTGTTTCTCAACCCAATGAGTTTGGGCCGTGGCTCTTTTTGTCTAGTAGAATGTGGCAGAAGAAGCACCATATAGATCCGAATGAATTTGAATCCTTTGGCTCTTCCTCTTGGAATCATGCAACTACCATGTCAACGAGGCCAGGCAAAACTGTTGGGGAATGAGAAACCATGTGGAGGAGAATCCAGGCAGGACCATCTTAGATGAACCAATTTTCAGCCAACCTACCAGCTATCTGAGGACATATGATGGAGCCTAGCTAAAATTAGACTAGCCCAAACTTAACCAGAAGAAACTTCCAGATGATCCACAACCACTCACAATCGAAATACGTGGTTGTTTTTTCATGTAATTGAAGGTTTTGGTGGTTTATTAGGCAGCAAAAGCTAACTGATTCATCATCTCGTTCAGAGAAAAAGTCCCAGTATCAACGGTATCTGCAGTACTTAGAACATTGCCTTGTACAGTATAGGTGAGCAATAAACTTTTACTGAAGGAATGCATAAATGGAGCTAATCTATCAGGGAAATAGAAGCCCTTCAAGTAAGTAAACTGGTAAAAGAATGCAGAATTTGGTAACAAAAGAGGCTGATGTTGAGAATCAGAGTAGAAGTGGGAGAGTGGGTCCTCCAAGGGCCCCCCATTTTTTCTAGAAGAAATCCCCAAATCCTGATAGTGGCATGGAAGGCCCTATATGACTCACCCCCTGATACCTTGTTAATTTCACCCCCTTCCACTCAGCCTCTGCTCCAGCGGCTCTGGTTATTTCTGCAACACACCACACATGAACATACCTGGGCCCTTGCTGATTCCCTCGCCTAGAAAGTTCTTCCTTTAGACAAGCACTCACTTTCTGCTTATTTGCACCCCCTTCCTGACTACCCTGCAGAAAAAGCCACCCACGGATGGCGAATTCCCTAACCCCTCCCTACCTGCTGTATTTTTCTCCTTCACTCTTGCCACCCTCTGATGTCTTACCTGCCAGCTGCTATGGTTACTGTCCACCTTCTCCACTCAAACACAGCTTCAGCAAGAGAAAGCATTTTGCTTTGCTCAATTTACTGTTAGGGCAATGTTGTTTTACAGCAGAAATTCAGCCAGCGGATATGAAATCCTGTAGGGACCACAATTCCTTCAACCCTAAGAACAAGCAAGGCGAATCTTTGGCTTTGTTCCTGGGAATGAAATGAGGCCTTTTTAGAAAGCCAGGGTGCCCGGGTGAGTAGAGTTAGGTTGATTCCTGAAAGCTTTACACGTCGGCTTGTGGCAAGACTGGTGGCATTCCACCACGAACCGGCAAAAGAGAGCAGCAGCATGAGGTAGGGCCATCGGGGAGCTGGGTTTTGTCTTCCAGGAACATTCTAACACATGCTATTATGTTTCTTGAAATGGCTCAGAGAGGTAGGCAAGGCGGCAGGTTCAAGCTCTGCCTCTGTCTCTCCACCACACACACACACACACACACACACACACACACTGACACGGGAGCTACACAAGTCGCCAGGCACACTGAGAGGAAGGGCTCGTTCATTCTTCTTTTCTGCTTCTCCCTCTAGGCTGTGACTGTAGCCTTCTTGAGTTGTTAAGATTCCAGGTCAGGCCTGACCTCCTGAGAGACCCTCGACAGAAGAGGCATCTTTTCTCCCAGGAGAGCCTCCTGCCGAGGCACAGGAGCCGCATAAACATGTAGAGCATCAGTTCCAGAGCCTCCCACAGGCCTCCTGATCACCTCAGCCTGGTCCACAGCCCGCCCCAGGCTGCTGACCCAGAGGCGGCGAGGAAGGCCCCCTACGAGCCCCCTACGAGCCGCGCCTGGCAGCTGCTTTCAGTTGGAAACCTGAAAGAAATCCCAATCTCATGGCTTTATTATGGTTTAGAGATCAAGTTGAGCCACCATGGAAACTTTCCCTCATCCCCTCCTTTCAGCCCATGTTGACAGAAGCAGGACTTGCTAATTCGGGCTGGGGTTTTTCCCTCCCTGGGTTGTTTTTAGTCTTTTATCTCCATTGATTGAAGAGAGCTCTTCAGCCTTTCAAACTATCGGAAGGTATTTGGGGTTTTGTGTATTTTTTTCTTTCTTTCACATAATTCAGTAGGTCTTTTCCCAGATATGTATTTTTTTTCAAATTAGCTTCTAACTTGTTTAAGTTTCCGCCCATGTGACTTCCAGCGTGAGTTACCAGAAACCACAAGAGAGAGAGCGCCAGCCCCAAAGCGAGCGACATGTCCCTGCGGGGAGCAGTGCCTCTGCACCCCAGAGTGAGGAGGACGCAGGGGTCAGAGGTGGCTGCAGGGCTGGCAGAGGAGGGGCCCACAGAGGGGGGCGAACCAGAGGCCCGGGAGCCACCACGCAGGAAGGTCAGCTGGTGACCAGTGAGCCCAGAGGCGTCTGGGGCTGCGAGCAGAGCCGGAAGACTGCAGCCATGCCTCACAGCTCGGACAGCAGCGACTCCAGCTTCAGCCGCTCTCCTCCCCCGGGCAAGCAGGTAGAGGCTTCTTTTCCCACCCTCCTCCTTCCTCATCCCCACGGCAGGAAGAGGCTTGGGCTTCCTGGTCCTGCCTGGAAGCTGAGGAGCTGAGAGCCAGGACCCTGACGTGCTAGGCTGGTGGCGGGAACCCTCTGTTTGACTTAGGATGTGGTATTTGCAATTAAACTGTGCACATGGGTGGGAACCCTCATCGTTCACCCATTCTGCCTGAGCCTCGTTTCCACTGTCTCCTCAACGGTGCTTACCGCCTCTACCTCACCTGGGTCCCCACCCCAGGAAGCTTTCTAGGAAGCGAAGAGGAGAATGAACATCAAAGAGCACCAGGCTCTTGGAGGAGAGGGTCTGCCTTCTCTCCAGGCAGGAGCAGAGCATTGCAGTGGGCTGCCTGGCCCAAGTCCTTGACAAGGGGATTCCCTAGACACCAACTTAGGGCAAGAGAAGACAGGGATCAGGGCGAAATAAAGAATAAAACTAAAGCAAGTTCAAAGGAAGAAGGGCCTGGCCAACACAGAAGGACTTTATCTTATCAGTGGGACGCTGCCCAGGGCTCTGGCACAGCCAGCAGAGAGGGTGCGGGAGCCTCCTTCCTCTGCGGATTCTGGACAGGAAGAAGGAAATAAATCAGGAGGCAGCTCTGAGGCTTGGAGACGTGCGGTAGTAGTTCTCAGGGCAGCTCTGGAGAAACCGGAGATTATGGTAGGGGTTCAGGGATGGCTTCACATTCAGATTTAAGGCAGAGGTTTTCAGCGTGAAGATTGCCCCAAAATGGTGCAGCCGGCCTCAAGCTTCTGGGGCTTTCTCTACCGCTCAACTTGACACGTCTCTCTCTCCAGTGCAGGCTGCTTCTTTCTCATCTATCACTGGGTTGACATTTCTTCTCCACCTTTGTTGTTTAAAAATTGAATTCTTAGCATAGATCGCCAAAAGGGCTTTCAAAATGTTCTGCAGCTCAAAGAAAAGTATATAAATATTTCATATAGCTTCTGCTGTCGGTACTGGGAGAACACAGGTTCTAAGAAGTCCTAGCGGGGACCACTAGGAGGCAGACAACCAGTGCTCTGCTCAAGATGGTGTCAGTGCCTCAGACTGCCTGGAAGTCTGCGCTCTTCTTAGGAAGGAAATTACTCATGGCTTCCATGGTAACCTGGTTCCCATCCCCCTTAGAGGAAGAATACTTCCTTCCTTTCTAACCCATGCCCTTCCACTGCTATGCCTGGGGGTACTGGGTGTGTTGGTGAGATACTGGGGAGCCGGGTGAGCCCGGTTAGCCCTAGCCCACAGGGATGTGGCAGGGTGGGGAGGGACCGCAGAGGGTTTCACCGCAGTATCCGGGAAAGGCTGGTGTTCCCCTCTCTGCCTAAGCAGAGGGCATGCCCACCATGGGCTTTACTCAGACTATCCAAAGGTCCCGTTTCCTCCTAAGCCCCCATTCACTACCTGAATGGCTCTCCCTTAAGGTCATCCTGACCACTGGCTTGTACCAGGCATTGTGCTCTGAGCCACAGGGAATGTCAAGGTCACAACAAAAATGAACTTGAATGTGGGGAAAGAAGCAGATCTGGGGTGGGGGCCTTGGCCCAATAGGAAGCCAGAGACACGTGGAGTATAGACGAGGGAGGTGGCTGTGATGGTGGGGAATAGACATCAGACTGATCATCAGAACAGGTAGTTAGTTCCCTGACTGCTGTGGGCTCTTGGGCAAGCGCATTGAGTCTCAGTTCCCTCATGTTTAAAATGAAAGTAATAATATCAGCTTTGCAGAAGTGGGCAATTAGACAAGAATACCTTTGTAAACGAACTTGCACAGAAGCAGGCACAAAAGAGCAAGAAGGTTCTAGTTCAAAAAGTGAGAGTAAGGATGGAGCAGCCCCGGAGAGGAGAGGTAATAAAACACATTTAATTGCTTTCACCATTTCCCCCCAAATAAAGTCCTACTGAGACCTCAAGTTCTTCTGCCCTCTTCCTGTGGGTTTTAGCCAAGAAAGTGCTCAAGCTCTCAGGGACTATAACAGAGTGGGGAGGTCCTCTCTTTGGGGCTCAGCCTTTTGATAAACAGGGGGACAGGAGGATGGCTGAACAAATGAAAAGATGGAGATTTGGAAGGATGGACGCATGAATACCAAACACCTGAGAGCCTCTTAGAAGAATGAGAGGAGCAGATGCACCTAATTGTTATCATCTCTGCTTCCCAGGACTCATCTGATGATGCGAGAAAAGTTCAGAGAAGGGAGAAAAATCGCATCGCTGCGCAGAAGAGCCGGCAGAGGCAGACGCAGAAGGCTGACACGCTGCATCTGGTGAGTGTCCAGGCCTTTGCGTCCTTCCGGGTCGGGCCTTGACCCGGCACTGTGGAGCTCGGGCTCTGTCTTTGCATGTACCTGTTTGGGCTAAGGACGTGGGGAGAGCAAGTGGCGGGCTGCAGGGTGAGGTGGGGGAGGGGTGGGTCTTCTGTGGTGTAGTGAGAAGACTCAGCAGCTGGAATGGGTCAGGAGGCTGAGCAGAGGAATGAGCCCCTCTGGCCAGAGGCCCAGGCTGTAGTAGTTGGTGAACTGAATGTGGGAAGCTGAGAGGCTGCTGGAAGTCAGAAGCACCTGCTCAGTGTTGGTAGGAGCCACAGCGAGCAGAAGGCAGCACTGCTTGGAGGGAGAATTTAGAAGAGCTAAGTGCGTTGGGGGAGCTCATTATCCTGCAATGTTAAGGTCACATGTCGTCCTGTCTCGGGAGGCCAGTTGGGCACCGTCCTGGGCTGCATTTAGGGCAAGGAGATAAAGGTACTGCACCTTACTCCTCTTTTTGGAAAAACATTAAGATTGGATTCTTTAGTGATGTCCCCTGGGGTCTGCGAAAGGTCCAGTGTCACGTGCACTTACCCAGGGGGGTCGCCCAGCAGGCTGAGCTGCCTCCGGTCTCAAGCTTTTTGGAGAAGGCAGAGCCCCAGCCTGGGCAGGGGCTTGGGGGGATGTGGTACCCCCACCCAAGGCCTCTCCTGCTCTGCTGAGCTCTTCATGGAGCCATGTCCCCTCTTGGTCTCCCATCCCTCACCTCCTTCCCTCGCTCTTCTTCCACTTCATTTGGTTCTTGCTCAAACACCTCACTTCACTGGCTCCTTCCTCTCCTACCCTGCCATCCCTCCTCTAGCCATTTTACCATCTTGCCCTTCCTCCTGGTCCATTTCCAAACCTCTAGCATCTTAGAAATTTTAATGGTAAAAAAAAAAAAATCAGTTGGTTTTTTTTAATGGTTAAAAAAGAGTAGTTGGCTTGAGCCTCCCTGGTGATATAAGGGGTTAAAGCACAGCACCATGGAGCTCTCTGCAGCCACTGTGACCTGAGTTTGATCCTTGCCAGGGAGCTGACTCACATGGCGCAGCAGACCTCTCCTGTCTTGCCCTCCGCTCCCCTGAGCAGTGTACTTTGTCAGCCTGCCTGTTCTGCTCCCCACTCTGTCTCTGGTGAATCCCACATCTCTACCCCAGATTTTTTATGCATAAATTAATAAATCTTTTTTTTAAAAAAAAGAATAACTGGCTCGAAAAATGAGTAAGTGCAGCTTGCATTGTATTTATTTGAAAGATAGCATGGCACTCAGTCAGATAGAATAGTTGCTTCAGTCCTATCAGAGACAAGGAAGCTACAGTTGCAGGAAAAAAAGATGCTTCTTTTGGCTTTGCAAGGATGCAGAGAGCAGGCTGCGGCAACGTGTCTGATAAAATGCATAAAATTTGAAACGTATTCAGCATATCCCATTGCATACTAACGCTGCTTGACATGCATAAATATTTGTTGACTTGAAAGAAAAACAAATGCATGCAAAGCCCGTTTCCTTTGACCGGTGTACTGGGCAGTCTAAATGGGCAGCTGCTACTTACCGTCACGTTCTCATCATGATTTCAAATGGCTCAGGAGCTTGTTCCACTTCGGTCCACTACCTTGAGTTTGAAAATCTATGGCCACCCACTCTATCAGTGTCTGATTCTCCCTCAATATTCTTTAGAGCAACAAGCCAACAAGCAAACAAATAAAAATTAGAAAGGTTAAAGATTTCCTTGTGTACAAGTAGACAATGTTTCATGATTGGCAAACTGCTATATATTTTATGAGTTTGTAACATTAAAAAAAAGAAAAGGCAGAAACTATCACTGAACTTCTCTGCAGCCAGGACAGGGTTTAAATCAGCTCCGCCACTTGCTCTCTCTGTGACAAACCTTAGAGGTGTTCTCAACCTTCCTTAGCTTTGCTTCTTTATTTATTACTCCTTATTCGTATATTTATTATACAAAATGGAACTCACAGTCACTGCCTCGTAGAGCTAGCACATATAAAGAACCCAGCACAGAGCCTGGTGAATGATAAACATTCAAAAAATTAATGAAACTAAGACTGATATTCATAATGGTTATTATTATATGTTATTCTAAGAAACAAAATTATAACCGCAACAGAGGCTCTACATATGCATTTTATACATTATAATATATAGTAAAATATATTATACAGTAACAACTGAGTTAAAGTATACATATTGTGGATATAAAATATTTATTATACAATCTCAGAACTGAAAGATTTCTTAACGGCTAGAAATTTCAGAGATACCTTAGATGCTTGAGTCTCCTCTAGTCCCCTCCTTATACCTGGGGCACTTCTAGTGACAGAGCTCCCTCCCTCCTAAGGTGACAGAGGCATCTTCCCTAGCTCACTACTTTCTCCCTGTAAGATCAACCCACCCGGCTCCATTCAACCCCTCCAGGACTTACCTGTGAGGATGACGTCATTGTCTCTTTGCTGTGTTGGGGTTCTGCGCTTTGGCTGTCTGTCTCTGTCCAACAGGGGTTCAAACGGAAGATTAGCCTCTCTGAGTATATAGGTCATGACCGCATTGAAATATCCTGGGGGACCCCCCAGTCATGCAGTCACCATGTCAACACCCTCATCCCCAACCTGTCTCTAGAACATTCCCATCATCTCCTCCCCACTTCTTTCTTCTGCGCACCTTAGCATTCGTTTTTACTTTTTGACAGTGAGTGAGTGGATTGTATCCGTTTACACAATCAGCCTAGGGATTGCAGTTAGTGCAATTTATGGATCTTGGCTCTGGGTAGAAACTTTCGGCAACAACATATAAATCTGCCATCAAACAGAGGGCTTAGCTGTGGTGTGAAATGTCTGTTTCCTCTCCGACTGTAATAGACGCTTTATCCTCTTAATTATGTTTGTGATTCAGGTAGGAAATGTTCTGATTTTCAAGCTGCGTTTTCAAGCAGCTTTCAAATGCTTGGTTACACTTGACTCCTTGGCTCCAGTGTTGAGGCTCCAGACCCAGCCTGGTGCTCACACACAGCCGTATGAGTGAGTCCTCTGTCCATACACTGAACGCCAGGGCTTAGCAGGTACTAAGAGAACAGTATCAAAGAAGCATCATGGTCGTATTAGTGTTCCAGCCTCAATGATGCTAGAGTAATATTTTCTTGTCACCATTATCTCTCTTAAAACGCCAAGAGAATTATCTTGTTTCTCCAGTAAAATTGTGGGCTACTTCCCCTTTAATATTTTCAGTGTCTATCCTCTAAGTGGTTTACATCAAAACACTGTGCACTGATTGATTTTTAAATAGCAGAGTAGGAAAGGAGCCTCTTTTGAAGATTGTGTTTAATCTCATGCAGTGTTTGAACATCTCCCGTCCAACTCCTGTCCCCTATGCTGGAGCACGTGCCTCATCTCACTGTGATATTCACCAACACAGTCCATATTCTGTTTTAATTCTCCTTGGGCCGAACATCTCACGCCAGCACCCATCACACTTAGTTCCTTCCCTCCCACAGACACTGCAGAAATAATGGGGTAAAGGTACCTGTGACATAGGAGAAAGAAATATCCTGGCCACTTTGTTTCTAAACTGTATCAGTAGCTGGTAAATGGATCCAGGATAATCAGATGCAAAACTATTAAAAATAATAAGAGAATTCACTCTGCTTTCAAAGTTAAAAGTAAAACACTAAAAAAAAAAAGTAATAACTGCATAACCAACTAGAAAAGTGTAATAGGAGGAAAGAGTCTGTTTACTACAGGACAACAAAAGGGAGGATTTCATATAACAAAAAATATTCAGGACTTAATGTTTTTTAAATATCAACATTGTTCTAAGTGATTTTCAAAACACTCAAATAAATAGAAAGATATACCTTTTGTAAAGAGCAATTTTCTTTCATCTGTAGATATTGTTTAAGCTAATGTGATGCAAATAAAAATCCAATAAGATTTTCTAGGAGTTGGGAGAGCCCTGGGCTAGCTCCCAGTGAAAAATAACTGTGTGACCATTGCTAGGGAAATTCTGCAGAAGAAAGGTATTCAACAAGCTGAATATTAAAGCAAATCGCCTGGGGCTTCCTTGCTGGCACGGGGGTTAAAGTCTCAGCGCTGTCAAGTTATGTCCAGCTACTGCGGCATGAGTTTGATGCCAGCCCAGGGAGCTGACCCACATGGAGCAGCAGACCTCTCCTGTCGCGACGGCTGCTCCCCTCAGCAGTGTGTCTCCGTACATCTGCCTGCTCTGCTCCCCACTCTGTCTCAGGTGAATCCTCCCAAACCTCCACCTCTATCCCTCTATAGTACTCCCCAGTTCTTGTATTCATAAATAAAATAAAAATAAGTCTTAAATAAAATAAAGGGAATCACAAATATAGGTGTCAGAACAATGTGGAAAAGAGAACATGGCACAGATGGAATTCAGAAACCAACCCAAAAGCAACCTCAAATTCAAGACCCCAGTACATACATCAATTCCCAAAACAAATACAAATGCAAAATGACTAACATGGTGTTTCAAACAGTGACAGAAAGTTGAATTAGTCAATAAATAGAGCTGGAACAATTGGCTGGATGTTTGAGGGGAAAAAAGGTAAGATTCTTAACTTCTAATTCAACACCCACATATTGAATGAACAAAAAGTAAACTACGAAAATTTGAAAAACATGAGCATTAAAATTTAATCTCATAGTTAAGCATTTTCCAGATAACATACAAAATCCTGAAACTATAGACAAAAAGATAAACGTGCATTACCTTTATACATCAAAAAGTAAACACACTGAAACCCTCTCTTGTAGCACAGGGGCTTAAGGCTCAGCACTACAAAACTGTCCACAGCCACTGCAGCACGAGTTCGATCCCCACGTGGTGCAGCAGACCTCTCCGCCTCGCCTGCTGCTCCCTCAGCAGTGTGTTTCAGTAGGTCTGCCTGTTCTGCTCCCCACTCTGTCTCTGGTGAATCCCCTCCCCCCCCCAGCACCTCTGGCCT